TAGTTAAAAGCTTAAAGTGTCCTCAGGCCTCGTCTCTTCGTCGCTATGACAATAACAAGATCTTAGAGGCAACAAATTGGGTGCGGCAAACGACAATGAAATGATATAGTATTGGGACGGGCGATTTTTCTCAGGCTGAGTTCTCCTATTAACGAGAGCATTTAGACAGGGAATTTTCTGAAAAACCTACCGCGATTTAGCAGGAATTTAAACGAGGCGGAACATAAGTATCGGATAAATTTCTCCCCCTCTGATTCCCCCAATCCTACCCTACTAAACGACTCGTCACTCGCTCACTCCTCCACCACCTGAGTGTTATGCGCTGTACGGTGGGCCGATCACCAGTCCAGCAATGATCGTCGACGTTCGATTCCATCATACCAATAGCCACGTCGACGAGACAAATCGCAATTAGGAATAGCATAAGAAGCTGGTAATGTATGCATAATTACAATTGTTTTTAGAATGAAACGACGTGTGGCGCCGCGACGGGGAAATAGGAATTACTTACTAGTTAGTCCTGGACCGTGTGGACGTGAATCCACTGCGGCTTCCTATCCGACCGAGATATGGCGCGGGTCCGCACCACCACCACCTCAGTCACAGCTCCAGTAAGTACTAAAATCTCCGAATCCATTGGCGGATGTAACTTTTTCTTTCTTTCCTTGTCTTTGGATCTTGCTGCAAGATCCTCCTCAGGCCCCGCCACGGTCTACGGTCCACGGAACCTGTCGAGGTCATCTACCTGAGTTGTATACTATATACAGTATACGTCGACAGATGTAAACCTTGTTTATATCATTTCATTTTGCGGTTCCAGACCTGCTACGGAACCTATAACCAACCTGAGTTGACAGATGGTCACATTACAACCTTAGCATAAACATAAACTCTCCTCTTCGTCCTGTCAGAGTCTCTACGATAATGACGGATCCCGAGTCTCACATCTTCCTATGGCTGGGATGGACAGGGAGCTGGAGGAGGAAGGCGGGAATATATTGTTACTATAGGTACGCGAGTCCTCAAAATTTTATTTTATATTTTTTTTGTGGTTCCAGACCCCTGCTACGGAACCTATAACTTATACTATGTAACCATACCTGAGTTTCCCGACGAACTTTTACGTAATGATAGATGATCACATTGTAATTAAATCTTAGCATAAGGTTTAAACTCTCCTCGTCGTTCTGGCTGTCAGAGTAAACTAAGATAAGGCTGACAGATGTGTCAAGTGTTTCTCTTTATAGCTCTTATAAGTTATAGCATTTAGACAAGGAAACTTGTTCACGATTTAGCAGGAATGTAAGCGAGCCCGAATATTTGCAATGAACCTCTCCCGTTTGAATAAATATCTGCCACCTCCAAGGATCGAATCACATTGACAGTCAGTCACGCTGACTTGAATCATTGACCATTGCAGCTGGCAGAAGATAAACGTTCTGAACTTAGAACACACAATATTATTTAAAATAAATACCCAAATCTTTATTCTGAGAAATTCATCAAGCGCAGTCTATACACTTCAACGGACGCGTAGAAAGAAAAGAAGAAAAAGAAAAAGTAATGCAACTGAGATTGAGTTGACAATGATACATACATCCGCCCGCCTCCTCACTGATTGACACCCGCCACCGCCCGTTAACTTCGAACCCCGCCCCATCCTTGCAAGACCGCACCCGCCCCACCCGCCCCTTTAAACCCCGCCCACACAATCACATCACCCTGCTATGAATTCATTCATTCATTCTGTCTGACCATCACCACGACGTCTAATAAGCGCACTTATTGTACTGCCCTCCCCAGGCTCTCGTCGTCGTCCTCTACAGAGTCCAGTCCGTCTTCTATAGGCATTACCCCTCCTTCCCTGTCCGCGTCCGCCTGAACACCCTGCCGCACCTTAACGCCGCCTTCTTCCGCCCACATCTCACCGCTAAGTTCCCCACCACGCCACCGTTCCCCACTCCAGTCTGAACCTCAACCACCGATTCCCTAATCCCTCTTCAACGGCTTCCTCAACACAAACAGCCTCTCGCCATTCGAGCCCGGCGTGCTCAGCTCGCGCACGTCTTTAAGGCCTTCCAGGCCTTGTAGGGAGCGGCCGCGCGCGAGGACGATGTACATTTCGAGGGAGTCGCCGACCTAAAGGCACATTCAACATTAGCGAGTTGTAATAGGTTGGGGTATGAGGTTATGGGGGATGGTAGGGTGGAGGGTGGAGGTAAGGAGGCAAAGAAACGGGAATGAAGGAGAAGTAGAAAGAGGAAGCGTACCTCGATATGTCTCTCCGTCGCACCAGTGAAGGAATCAATAACGAGCTCCACGACGTGTCGCAACGGTAAGTGTGTTGGGTGCGCACTGCCGAGGGCGGGGGTCTGGTTCTTGAAGTAGATCTATAAAAAGGAAGGACGCGTCAGCATTAAGTTCAGGTCATTCCATTGCGTAAGACTAGCGAATTGCGTAGGGCGCGCACGAATAAGGGCGACAGGCTACATACCTGGTTATCGAGGAAAGGCTGCACAAGGGCAGAAGCGGCACCTGCGGCGCGGCATGCTTCGCGTTCGTACGATCCGACGGGGTCGAATGAGTAGACAGCGCCAGTGCCTATAATACGAAAGAATGCAACGTTAGGATTGATATCTCCGGTGAAACGAAACGATAAGAAAAACGGAAGTATAATGCACGGTAAAGTGCATGCCACCTCGCACCCCGGGCCGTATCGCCCTAGATAGCTAGAGAGAGTCTAAAGCCCTAGTCGGAAAGGCCGGAATACGGGCGCAATAATACGCGGGTGAATGTCCGAAATGCACCCGACCCAAAAGGGAAGGTGGACGCGCGTACGCAAGAATAGGTGGGGAGGGAGGGGGCGACGTACCGTCTTCTTCGATGCCGCCGAGGATGTTGTACACATAGTAGGGGAAAAAGCGTTGTGCGTATAGCATCGTCTGGATCATCCGCGCGATCGCACGTAGCGGCATGTCCTTGGAGTGTGCATGGCGGTACCACTACGCGGAGTGAGCAGCGAGGACGGACGAAATTGACAACTACGCACCTCGAGTCGCTGCTTGACTTTCTTGACGAACATGTTCCCGTCTGCTGCAAAGCCGTTCACCGCTAGGACCGCCTTGTCCGTTCTGGGGACGCGTAAGACACAAAAGCGATGGATGGACCGAAACTTGACTTACAACTTGAAGACCTTGGGTGCATACCGCGTCTGAATGCTATATCCTTCTGATTGCCTCGTGTCGCCTGCAATGACACTGAAGTCTGCGCCAGCGATGGCTAGGATGGTGCCGCCGTTCTCGGTGTAGGGGTTGAACTGGCGCTGCTGTGGTTGCTGGGGGTGGTACTGGTGGTAGGGGTGTGCCATGACTGTTAAAGGAATGAATTCAGCGTATGTTCGAGGGAGGCGAAAGGGACATACGGTCAGACATTGTGCAGTATGTATAGGATGCAAGATTAAGAACGCGTCAGCGTGTGGATCCAGAGAGCTCAAACGCCGGCGTCTGTCCTCCAGCCAATAATCCCGGCCTCGCCACCCATTTTCGCCGACCTGCCGACGATCCCCCGAGCGAATTCACAACAATTATTTATTTATTTTCTGGACATGATTCCGTGTGTATCCTGAATCGTATCCCGCGACGAGCACCCCATATTCGGATCGACACGGGTGACGACTGGGTGAATGAATATCCCAGTGTATCCTCCACGACCTCGACTCCCTACCGCCATTTCTCCGCCTCGACAGCCTGTCGCCCGTGGGCAAGCAAACAGGTAATGCCCTGGTACAATCCCCGTTCCCTATCTGCACCTCTTCCACTGTTGCCTGATGATAATCTGCTCCCACCAGGATCGCCGCGTAACATCCAATGAAGCCTCCCACAGAATTTTCGCTTCTCGGCCATCAGCTTATGCGTTACACCCATTATCGCTCTTCTTCTGTTGAATTACCGGTCTTTTCGTCTACCTCAAGCGTCCTCGGTGTTCTTATTTGAAGTGCGTGCTTATTCTCGCAAAACTTTGCATTAATCGCAATGCAATTGCAAACAAAAATCCCGCGATTTGAAATTGAACTTGTACTGGGCCATTGACACTCACTTCCTCACGTATCCTCCTTGCCAACCTGGTGTCTCCGAGTCCCAAATCTTCTCCCCTCTCTTCAAATCCCTCCAATTCAAAATTCAAGTCACCTCACTGAATAACGACAGCAGCAACAGCAGCAACAGCAACAGCAACACCCCGACTCCGAAATTCGAATACTAGCTAGTATTTCATTATAACGGGCATCTCGGATTCGAACCTCGGGATTCAGAACGTCGGACCTTGGATCTTGTTTCTTGAACGTTGAACCATAATGCATAGAAGCTCAGGCTTAGGTTGACATTGGATTGGCAGTCACGGTTGGGAATTTGGAGTGCGTTGGCTTACAGGGCTCGTGCTCGTGTGTCTATGTCCTACTTGAACCTTCTTCACTGGGCACTGGGCCGTGGGGAGTTGGTTGGATGGGTGGGTGGTTCGTGGGATGCCCGGGATGAGTGCGATGTTTATTCGGGGGTTGATATGATGGGGAAGGGAGAAGGGGGGATATTGGGAGAGATTGGAAGGGAAGGACGAAGGTGGCCCTAATAGTAATGTATACTATACAAAAACGTTATAGAACGTCAATCACTACGTATAAAAATCTTACATTTTATATCTCACAGCTCCCAAAAAAATGAAGGAAGGAATATGTCTTCTAATATCGGGTACAAAGAGAAATAAAAAAAATCAAGAAAAGGTCAAATTAATCCATCCCTTTCACATCCACATCCACATCCACATCCCCAATACTCATACTTACTTCTCCACCTAATCTACATGTCATATATGCCCAAACACCCCACCCCAATAATCCCATTCATCCATCACCCATCCCAAAAAAAACAATTCCCCTCCCTCATTCTCCTCATAACTCACCCAGCCCACATCCGACTATTAGCTCTATCCCTCCAAGCGCATTCGACGGTAGGATGGACGAGTGGTTTAAGTCGACAGATTTAAGTTCCGCAGATTATCTGCGCTTGAACTTCCTGTTGCCGTTATGGCGCGTGGGTTCGAACCCCACTCCTACCATTACTTTTTACGTTTTTTCTTTCGGATTTGCTTATTGAATGACTTTTTCCTGTATGAATTTATTTCTAAAATTGTTTTTGGGAGTCAGTCAGCATTTTTCTTTTTTGGGAAATTTATCGGGAGCTGGTTATGGTATCGTTGGTGGAAGTTCGCCGCGGCGTGTGAAGGCTAATGTTCCTGGCGCGTTCTGGCGGAGGTGTTTTGAGGTGTTCTGGCGGTGGTATCTTGACCGGACGTTTTGCTGCGGTGTTTCTAGGGAGGAAAATTTGACCGATAATTTTTGGCACGGCGAGAATGGAGTAGCAGGTGACTTGAAGCTGGCAAGGCAAGGTCACGGCGGAGAGGTTTCCCTAATGCGGGAGAGACTGTGGCAAGTTTGCAGTGGAGACGGTAAATGTTTGTCCAATGCGGAGTAGCTCGGGGAGTGCCAAGATAGCAATTAAGGAGAACAGAAGGAGAGCTCAGAGGATGCTTGGGGTGGAGTCAAAGGGTTTGTCTGGTGTGCACAGTGGAGAGTTGTATTGAGATCACTGCGCATGCTGGGAATGGTCTTGATTCTAGCGGCGAGATCATATGTATTTCTTAAACTAAACGAATTATTCAGATGTATCCTCTGCCAATCAGCCTCATACTGGATGTATATTTCTAGCACACGGTAGTATTTGTTAAAGAGCTGAATCATGAGACGCCGGCACCCTCCCTGAGTGATGTCTGGAAATTGAAAAGTCCAATTATGAGTTTATGCATAAACTCAACCGAGATTTGGATTTTGAATTTCAACTGGAAAGTCAAATTATGCATTTAGTGGGCACAGTGCCAGTGGTGTGCACTCATTACTAGTATAAGAAAGATTAGATTGCACGAGGGTTTTCTATTAGAATCTAGATTCATTAGGGCTTGGGCTCTGGCTCTCTATTTGACTAATTCATATTATGGAGCCCTGGGCAAAGGAAATTGTATACGAAATAATAATACTCATGATATTCTAACTGTTCTCGTCCGACCAGTGGCCTAATTCAGAGGAACACTCCGATCAAATTGGAAGACGAATCTGCGCAGCTTGGTTGGAGTGATATATCAATCCAGTCCTGGTTTATGCATGAGGAAGACGATCTTCCATTAAATTTATCTGTGAATATTATTACTACCTCAAAGTTTACGACATTCTCACTGGTGTTGTCCCATTCAAGTTATAACGGCGTCCAAGTTATGTTTGGTTTTTGACTATGTTCGCACATTCATCTCTCTTATCTGGATCTATTTCAAGAGTCGGACGGGCAAATAGAAAGATCAACCTCTTCTTTTACCTAGGATGTCAGATGCTTGGCTAGGTAGTCACAGCATATACGTGTATACCAACCGCAGTGATGGTATTACGAAGCTGCATAGAAATGATTACTAGAGCTTTTGAATATTTTTTGGAGTCTTATTTTAGTGAGTACTAGAACATTCTAAATCTGATCCAGTGCCAATGGGATATTAGCTTAGTGAGCAGATCTATACTAATTTGTAGAGCAGAACTTAATATGAATATTTTCCAGCCGTCCGCGCTCGACACCGGCGTTGATTGGCAACTCAAACGTCACCACGTACTAATCACATATATGTAGCATCTAGCCCATGCAGTCCGTCCGAGTCGCGGTCGCGTGCAAGAGTCTTTACTGGCACGTCACAGATCCTGAGCCAACCCCCCCATAATCTCATGCTCCAAAATAGCGCCGGGTCGGGCTCAATCCAAATAATAAATATACCCCCATCCCGCTCCCACTAGCTCCCATGCTAATCCCGCTCCCAATCCAACGCTTCACGCGACCCTTAGGCTTCCGCATGTGTATACACATCTATTCTTTGCAGGCTCACCACATCAAAATCAACATTCAAGGTAACATCCCTCCCTTTTTCGTCTTCATACCACCCGGCTGCTTCTCTTAATTACCCTCCCCAGTTCTCGAGCTCCTTCGAAGTTCCTTCATTACATCAGAAATACCCTTCCGTCCTTCTCTCCCCCATTCGCATCATTACGTGTCTCCTCCGTGATTCTAATTCCTGACATCCCAAGTGTATACTGACAAGGCCGTGACGCGGCCGAGCTTCAAGGCATCTTCAATATGCATATGTAATGCAAATCTCGCAGCCCTTATTGAGTTTGGGTTCGGACTGGAAGTGGCCTGGGGTCAGTGCCAGTGGAGAGGTAGAGAAGTATGGAGTATGGGGAAACTTGAGGAATGATTTTATTTACAGGTCTTCTCGGAGTTGGACCTCGCCTCGGGGTTCACCGAGGGGAATTCGTCCTTTTGAGGTGCGGGCTCGGGAAGCTGCAGGATTCATTGTCGATGCCAATGCGAGATCATCAATGGAAGCATGTCAATGCGAAGACTCGGATTTAGTTATGGAGAATTTCAAGTGAACGGTGCATTGGCATGCGTGAAAAAGAATTGCGGGGAAGGGCATTGGGAAGCCGTCGACGTCGGTTAGGTATACCTTGTACATGAATTTGAAAACTGCCTTGAAGGTAACTTGTCAAAGATGTACCCAGAACATTCCCATCGTCGCTTGTATGCTAGTTTTAGCATTTCTAGCACTTTTGGAAAGGATGTGTCCGGCTAGCCCGTCTCAGACGTCACTCTCCGGTTACAGGCTGTTACAGGTTCTTCGGAGCTTGCCAAGATCATCCAACTTATTCGAATCATAACATGTATCCGGCAGGATATGTATATAGGCACCCCTTAAAATTTTCAGTTCACGTAAGGCGTATGCGAGATTATCTTTTCCCAATCCAACAATAAGAGGAAATAAACAAAGCATCGCCTAGTAAGCAGGCCCACAAATTAAGCGGAAATAGCCTTCCTCCGATTCAGAGTCGCCTCACTTTATTTCCAAATTTATCTGTGTACTTATCTATCCCAGTGTGTAGATCGCCCATTATCCCGTGTAGTTGCGCATACGCGTACGCGTGGATAAAGTCCAGACAACAACGTGCTTGATAAGGTATGATACGCGCGTTTTACTTACCATAAACTGGGACGGGAATTTTAGATCCGGGAATTCTTGGCCGATTCTGGGAATTTTTTCTCAATCACATTATAGCTTGAGTTCGCGTAATTGCAGAGATAAACCAGATAAAAGAAGTGTGTGTAGTAAACTATAGTTAAAACATGTATATAAGCTTGCTATAATCATTCACCCAACCTATAGAATAACTGCCTCAAGCTGCCTCCTTCTTTGCAAACCACATATGCAGCCAGATCTCCTTCCCTATCCTATCGGTCGCTCGACGCATCATGTCAAAATAAGGAAAAGACCTAGAAGGTTATCGGCTAGATACATCACTCCACGCACCGTATGGTAGCTCTCGGTATCCAAAACAGGCGCATATAACTGCATGATGCCCCTGAATGCGGGTGAGAATCCAGGACCACAGAAGACCACCTACATTACGTTACGTACAAAAGACATACAAGACCCTGCCCCATTGCTTCTTTTAAATTTCTCTCTCCTTACCCCCGCAGATTCAACGGCGTAATAACTTGGTTCAAGTTGGTTGGGCCCAGGTGCGATAATGCAATCTGTGAGTTTGAGAAGCCAGCTCCGGCGGTGGTGCTCTCAGGGTGTCTTCGGTTCGGAGATTTGAGAATAAGGGTGCCGGGCTGTGTATGGAGAAATATTATAAGGAAGAAAGAAGGGGTGATAGGGAGATTAATGAAAGGGGAAGAGGTTGAATGAGAAAGGAGTTGGTTGACGGAGTCCGCTTAGAAGTCGTGCCCAAGGGGTCTGGGTCTGGTTCAGTGGGGTTGGACGGAGAAAATGTCAGGTTTGACGACGGTGGCTAGACATGATGCGATAATAGATGGATAGGTCTGGAGTTTGGCGAATTGGTGGGGTGTCGATTTGTGTCGGAAGTCCTTCCAGCTATCGACCTGCCGAGAACCAGAGCGATCAACGGAGAAATTCCTGGTATTTCTGTCAAAGGTACTGTAAGATGATAAAGAAAAGGAAAGGAATATACTTACCTTCATTTTCGTCCTGGATCACCCATGGACGAAGGACTTCCTTTTATCCTTCCTGATTACACGGTTTCTCCTGATCTTTCCGCCTTCAGCAATGAGCCATGAGGTCATGGTTAGCCTCGAGCAAATGCCCATCGTCCGTTATGCCCTGGTCTAGCCAGAGTGAGAGAACCTCCAGGAGAATAACTGATAAGGTGCCTAAGGATCTAATAGGGATAGTACGCCACTGTTCTCCACTAGAAGTGTCTTATGAGTTCCGATTACGTGGGGTCCTCACGGATCCTATGCCGCCAAAGTGGAAATTACTGAACTCGAAGTAAGACGTGAGAAAGTCGGCTTGACAATATCCTGCAGGATTTGATCTTCTTAATACCTTGCAATTAAAGTCTGACGGTTCTGAACATAGAGTTCAAATTCGAGACTGATTCAACTTTAAAGTATCGGCAGTTTGTTTATCTATTATGAGGAAACTATTAGACCATTATTATGTTTTATGAATAAGCTTCCCACGTGGATATATCATACCTGTATACAGGAGCCTTGCACTAGCTCCAGTTGCTCTCCGTCGAGGGACAAGCCAAGGCACAGACTGCGCGTTAACAATCCATTAGCCATGTAAATCGTTTCTGTTCGAAAGGTTACCACGGACAGTCAGCTAAGGCACGGCGTATGCGTGTATCTAGCTTCCAGGTTCAGGCACGGCGACAGCTTACACCAATTATAGAAGGTCCTGCAATATTGCCGGACCGCTCCTTCAGGTCAAATCTTAGAAGTTAGGAAGTTGATGGCAGTCGTATAATCGTGAGACGTACGAGAATCGCAGCCCATGCAATCAGAGGCGAAGGACCAAGACAAGGTTACAGCCGAAAGATGTCTTCCATGCTGGCAGCTATATATGCACCACAAAATAACGAAAAATCTCGTCTCCTGCAACGGCGCATGTGATATTTTCAGGTAATATTATTGGTCGCCTCTGGTTAACACGCCTACATT